GTGGGTTCAGTCGTTTCCTAATGTATTCATAAAACTCTAAACACGTGTTGAAAGACATCAAAGAATTCATACATTATTCCAACGAACGCTCATTTTGTCCATAAAAACGCCTTTTTCTTCATTACTCGAAGTGTTTTCCATTACTCCGAGAATTATCTCATTTCCCCCCGAAATGAACGCCTCGTTGTCTTTCCCTTCCCTCTCATCCAAACCACTCATCTCTTCGAGTAATAGAAAATTCTATAAAAATTCAATAATTGTATATTTAAGGTTAAATTAACATATTATCAAATCAATTACTTAAATTATCAGTGATTATTTATCACAATTACCTGGATACGTTTAATGACTATAATTAGCTCACTTAACGCGGTGATGGCCAGGGGTGCATTCTTGCCCACTGTCCAACGCATGGCATTACAATAGGCAATAGTGGCAAAGGCTGTCTCCGCCGTCAACTGCCCTCCCATTAGTAAATATGTTAGAAAACAGGCGTATATTATAACCCGTAATAAAACAAAATAAATGGCAGTATTGACGCCTTTTAAAAAATTTGAAAAACGGATTTGTTTTATTTCAGACCTAATATTAAGTATAAATTATTTTGTTCAATAATACTTTATAGACAAAACTATAATATTATTAGTTATTAATAATGAATTAATCGTTAGTGGCATTACTTGCGAGTGTTTGCGACCAATAGTGCGAAGGGCTGTTCCCAGGCGTACATCTTTATGATACGCATTCCGGCGATAATCTCTTGCATTAAACGGATTCGACTGTCGGTTAATTCGGCCGTCTTTTGACGTATACTCCGAAACATACGACCCATTAGTACTTGAAATGGTATAAACAGCACAAGTATTCCCATTCCCGAGCGATAATCTCTTGCATTAAACGGATTCGACTGTCGGTTAATTCGGCCGTCTTTTGACGTATACTCCGAAACATACGACCCATTAGTACTTGAAATGGTATAAACAGCACAAGTATTCCCATTCCCGTCAAACACGCCCACCGCAAGTGCGACCACAATAAGTATAACACAAGCGCCGCCTGCAATGGCGCCACAAATAATGCTCGCGAATATTGTGCAAACTATAGCCAAATAAAAATCATGTTTATGTAACAATGTTCAAAAAACATTTTATGCTATGAACTTCTCTATATTATGAACAAAATCTCAATGCAAACTGTTTTCTCGAACAATAACACCTTGGTTATCATAAGGTTCGTTTAATTATCAATATTCACACCTCATCAAATCTATTGACATCGTTGGACATAATGTTCAATATCTGGCCAACGGTTGTCTGTCCGAGTGATGAATGACTCAAACGCATTGACTTTGTATAAAGTTAATAAAAAAATCAATAAAATAAATTACAAAAGCATACACTCGTATGGGGACAAACTTTGCGGTAGATTAGGGCACAACAGGCGGCCCGAATTCTGGCCCCAACTCGGCTGCACGACACTAAGTTCAACTGTAGAATCAACATGTTTCCAATGGCCGCCATCACAATACCCACGGCTGCCTACGTGGCCCACCATTGGCTTATGTTTGGGTCATTGTTGAAGTATCTGATCAAACAGACCACACAATACGGTAGAAACACGTTCAATCCCACTTCCTTTTTCGATTTGTAATATTTAAATATTATAAACTAAAAATATTTTCTATTCATTATGAATAATAATTAATTCAAATTATTATCCTTTTATATAATACTTTGATTGCGTCGGGTATATAGAGGACAATGAGTTCGGGTCCGAACGATGCGAATAGTGCCCAAAATAGTGATGGCTTTCCTTTAATATTTAATTGTTTATCCCAATTGCTATACAAATTCATTAAAACATTTTAGTTTTAAAATTTTACTTATGATAATTTGTTTAAATGTTACATTTCAAGCGTATGTCGGATCCGATGTGTCTCATCTGATTCTGGGCACCGGTAGAGGTCACTGAACTCAAGGTCCTTTTTGTGCGCCCGAATGAATAGACTCCACACCCAACTAATTATTACAACAAGTAAAGTAGAATTTAAAATATAATAATATTAAAATGTAAAAATATTAATTTTAATAATATAATTTTTTATTTAACTACCTGAATGTAAGCTTGGAAAGTATGTTAATGCGATCCCATGGGCTGGGAATGGTTACCAATCCATTTACTTCCATCGTATAATTTTATATCTACAATGTAGTATTAAAATTGTAGTTAATTATTATCAATTTGCACCCTTCCGTTTCCCATTTCCTAATTATATTATGGTATGGATAACAAATATACTTATTTTGTGACAAAACATGATAAACGATCCTAATTTTTATAAATGGATTGTGGTTAAAAATCGATATGATACATTTAATATTTTAGCCCTCAATAACCATGCCAGTATCAGATACAGATTCTGTATGTTTATATTTATTTCACTACATTTATCATGTTTAATAAATATTGGTTTATTTTAATTATTAAAATACTTTTAATATAAATAAATTATTTCATTTCTAAAACCATATGTTATTAATGTTACAAAATTGGGGTAAAGTTATTGTACAATTGAAGTTATAATAGATTTTACATAATTATTTTGACCTTTGTCATTATTTTATTTAGAATATTATTAATAATAATACATTCTACTTATCTAGGTGTCCAATGTTTATATTAAAGCTTTATAATATATTAATTTTTAACTTTGTTGCCTTTGGACAACTGGTCTGTTTTTACCATTACCTGTTGGTTATCCGCGAGGATCGTAGTGTTATTACATCCACACAATTAGACACAACACAAAACAGTTACACTTTATTATATAATTGAGGTCTAAGACACATAATAACTAATATTGAATACTTTAGTAAGTGTACAGTACAAGTGTAGTAGTTTTCTCAATACATTATAGTAGTGTATATTAGTGTAGAGTATAATCATGTGAACCCTAAATATTAAATTACATTAGAATTGATTATAATTGCAATTAATATGTAGTAATTATGTACACAGTATATATTATAAGTCCATAAATGTCAGATGAATAAAATATTAGTGAATTTTGTACTTTATATTATTTTATACTACAGTATACTGTAATTCATTTATTAGATATTTTCAACACTAATTAATAATTATATTAATTGGTGTATTGTATTTTTAATTGTAATTATTAAATGCAATTAATATTTGCGAAATATATAATGTTATATGTTTGAAAGGATTGCAGATATTTATGCTAAATTTTATTGAATTTTTATATCTAGGAGTGGGCCAAGAGCAGTTTAGCTCCGCGTTTACTATGTAAACTTTTGTGAGTCACAAAAGTTTACATAGAGTAATAGGTTTTGTACCCACTTATAATTCTATCAATATTTGTAATTTAATTTGCATATTAAATATGGCACATGAATTAATGCTAATTTTCCTAACATTACACGCACTTTAAAACAGTTACATTATAAGTTCACAAATAGTAAAGTTTATAAAGTTACTTTATGTTGCAATCTATTGCAATCCTTTATATTAAAATTTAATAATAATTTAATGTAAATGCAATGAATTAACAATGAAATAAGTTATAAAAAGAATAAAATACTAATTTAAATATAGATAATAAAATAGTATAACAATTAGATATTTTAATGTAAATAATAAATTATTATTTAATTATTATTTAAAACATAGATAACCAAATAGAAAATCAAAAATAGAAACAACTATAAACTACAGAATGTTAATGATAAATTATTATTAATTTTTAGTTTTCTATTTGGTTATCTATATTTTAGATTGTTTTAAATTATATATAATAACTGTAATAATTTATTTAATTATTTTGAATCAAAACATTCTGAATTTAATAGCAAATTTATGTAGTAGGATAATAAAAAGTACCAAAAATTACAATGTAACACACAATAGACAAAAAAGCACAATTTTACAAATAATTTATAGAATTTATTTATTATATTTTTTGTCTATACTGTGTAATTAAATAAATTTTATAAATTATTTGTAAAATAAACCAAAAAACCCAAATATATAAAACTTTATTGTTGATTATATAATATAGTTTATAAATACTCGTGGCGTACAACAAAATTGTGCATATTACTATACAGTATGTAGAATTACTTGACATGATTTTATATAAAATTTATATTTAAATAAGTAAATTTATTAAATTAACCAATCGACCACTCGCAATAATTGGTCACAATATATGTGAATGCGTACAGGTGATAATAAATCGATTATAAAGTCTGTTCACCTATAATGCCCGAGTTTGCACAAATATGCGCGCACTGAGAAACTAAGCTTTTTATTATTTAATATAAAACGTTAAGTGAAATAATTAAATTTTGAATTTACTGGCAAATTTATGTGTTAATAGAAAATATCGGAAATACAATATAACACTCTATAGAAAAACAACAATATTTAAAAAAAATTTTCGTAGACATGATAAATGATGTATACCTTCATAAAAATGGTTAAAGTCATGACAAACCAGTGGCCGATATTAAAGCCCAGTTTCCGACTATTGCTGAGTCTCTCGAAACACATCATTAACTTAAGCTTAAATCTCATGCGAAAAACGCCTCCATTTATACACCATTGAAGTCGTGATAACTTTTTGTGCATTTTATGCAANAATCTCATGCGAAAAACGCCTCCATTTATACACCATTGAAGTCGTGATAACTTTTTGTGCATTTTATGCAAACGCTGTGAATACGAGGCCAACACATACTGACCACCAAATATAATTAATAATGTCGCCGCCACACCAGCTAAATATAACACCTGCAACGGCACCGGCATTTGATTTGCTTCAAACAACAATTGATGCAACATGATCAATGATATTGGATAGGTTGTTAATTGAAGCAACATGTATAACCCATTGCAACACACATTAACCATGTTCAAAGTGTTGCAAAGGTGATCATGCTCATCCATGTAACGCACGAGCGTATGTGTCAGCTCCCGGTGGCGACCCTCATGTACTGCCGGTACATTTTGTAAGTGTTTATTGATATGATTTATACGCAGAAATAAGTAGTAAATCAAAGTACCAAATATGAATGTCATTATATAGAGAGTGTAGTATACATGCGACCATGCTGATAATGTGATTAGTATTGAGGGTAATGCGTACAGGAATTGGTCCATGGTGTATAATTCGTTTATAGCTATGATGTCTAAAAGTATCGTGCATAATACTATTCATTTAGGGTATAAATACCATTATTAATTTTATCAATATGATTTTATGAGAGAGAGAGAGAGAGAGAGAGAGAGAGAGAGAAAGAGAGAGAACTTACCTGATAACATAGGTGACACATATAATAATTTATACCCATAGTTTAAAATTTTGTTAATATGCCTGATTGTTGACCGATCAGTGGTGACCAGGTATACAGGTATCGGGCAATTACTCTGTCTAATCAAATCAAATATCTCGACAATAATGTGTACATTACTTGACTTTGACAAAAATAACCAATGATTTATTATGAAAGCGCTAATGTAAATTAAAAGTAAAAATATCAAGTTAAATTCTTGAACCCCACCAAAAAATAAAGTTAAATCAAATAATAATAATCTTGTTTCGTAACTTAAATCGTAGAAAATGCCCATGCTGAGTTTTACAATTAGAATGCCGTATATTAACTCAAATACATAACCGTATAATTTAGCTAGATAACTATCTTGGTTATTTATTCGTTTCTCAAAGGCATCTAGATAAAAATTAATAAACACGTAATTGGCTGGGATAAAAGTATTTCGGTAATTTTTTGTTAAATAAATATACGGTTTAATTTTATCCATAATTACGACACAATATTAATGAGATATATAAAGAAAATTATAATACAATATAAAAATTTTAAAATCCTTAGTTTTTAATAATAATTTTTAAAGTCACGTATACTTTATTATCATTAATAGAAATTCAATAAATCTATAAAACAGTATATGAAATCAAAATGTTTTATTTTATAAATGTCAAAAATCAATACTTTAAATGAAGCTCATTTTATATTATATAATCAATAATTAATGTCGCACTTTACATTATAAAGCAGCTAAAAATTAATTGTTCACATTGAAATGATATTTAAAATAAAAATTATATAAATTACCATGACAATTTGCATTTGCACTTTTAAAATAAACATTACATAAAACTCTCACTAAATATTATTTTTCAACAATAAGGTTATACTAAATTAACTTTATCTCATTATTAACAAGTAATTAATCATTTATTAAGTTTTACAAATTAGCATACATTTTATTATTATTGTCATTATATACTAAACTAGATTATTCTGTATTCAATTTATCAAGTTCCGCATAAAATACCGAATTCCTCTAGCTGTATAAATATAATAATAAAAATGGTTAAAATGTTTGATAAAACGGTACAAATGTATCACGACTTTATTGATTCAAATAATACACTCTCTGTAAAGACCGGGCAAATGATTGAACGGTTTTATCAAAACACATTGTCTTTGGGTTCAACAACAGATGATTATATGAATAGTATTTACAGTAAACGCAAACAATTGCTACTAATTATGGCCAGAATTGTGTTATTATTAGTGGGCGTCAGATATGGGGTCTCAGCGGTGGTCAACACCCGAGAGATGAGGGCTTTTATGTCGGATTCAAATTATGCGTTAGGAAAGGGGCGACTCATCTCAATAATGTTTAGTATTTGCGCATTTGTCATGCTATTTATCGGTCTAATGTTACAATATTTTGAATTTTACGGCAAAATGTACCTGTTTAATTTAGTTTACAATCTTAAATACAATAAATTCGATCCACCACTAAATCAAGATCACAGGGTCATGTATAGCATTACGGTAAATATGTTGGCAAAATATTGTATCTGGCCTATATTCTGGTTGTTTATGATTGTATCTAATGCCACCTTTTTATGGGCAACAATTTTGGCTTATTTTGATACTAACTCTGGTTTTACTATTATTTTGATCATATTTTGGAGTATTTGTAATATTTTATGGTTAATGCAATTCTATGGTATAATTATTATAGCGTTTCTTCTATGGTATTCCAGTACTACTTATTTGAGATATAAATTTCTTGAAATCAATCGAGAGATTGAGATTTGTATTCAATATAATAGCCAAAGAGTACT